CCCCCAGGCCTGTATTATCCTGGGAGTCATGGATGTAGAGCCTGAACTAGGAAGCATGCACAGTTAAGAGCAGTGCAATCCACCTAAGTGCCATTGTGCCACACAGGGATGTGTAACCCAGCACAGAATTCTTGCAGGAATGTGACTATACCTGAAGCAGAGGTGAATTTCTTCTCCAAACCCAGATTCACCAACGTTAAAATGCATTTTCCTGCCTTTATACAAGTGAGTAAAGTGAGTTTTAGTGTTTCTAAAAATGGGGAAGTCCTGCTCATCTTTAGTGGGTGACTTAAGACAAAGGACAGCTGCTCTTTTCCAGACTGGTTAATGGTCTGAGCCATTGGACAGACCAGGTTGTTAGGACTCATCCTAAAGTGCCTCATTTAGAAGCAGTCGATTATTCCTGCTTGGCTGATGAGGTGTTTGTGTCCYTGTTACTCAGGTTTTTAGAAAGGGAGTTGGAAAGCTGAGCCCAGTCAGTGAGYTGTTAACAATAGGTGAGTGATTCTGTCTTGATGGCAGGGGAACTCTCTGAGTGTCCATCAGCCTGCYTGAAACTAGGAGTTAAAATTAGTGGGGGGAAGCCTCTACACCAACGTTAACAAACTCATTCACAAAGTCGACATATCAGATTTTTGTTGAACCAGAGGCAGTCAACATTACTGCAGAATGTACAGAACGCTCAAAATTTCCTCTATATYCCAATGGAAACTAGTCAGGAAAATGATGCTGTCAGTGTGATTACGTGACACACGAGAGAACAAACTTCTGCCATCTCAGATAGTACCATCAAACCACAAAATTAATTCAGCTCCTTCACCACTACAAACTATTCTGGTCCAGGCTGTTTGGCTGGTAGGACTACTATCACACCTGGATTATTTTTTTAAATACATTTATTTTTTTGCTAGTTGAGCCCCAGTCACACATTAGCAACACAGCTGACCRCAGCGGGAACAGACTGTTCCACCAACTACCTGGAACTTTTCATTTAGGGCTACTAAAACTAGGTCTAAGGCATACGWGGGATATTTGAGCAAGTTAAAGCACACTTTACAGAAGAAAAACAATAATCTTKTAAGGGTCTTTCACCGAAGGAGCATCACTGACAGAGCAGGAGCAATTAATGAGCTGGAAGTTTCCAGGAAAAGCATGGCAGGAGGTAGGAGTTAAGCCTCACCCACCACACAGGGGTCATGCCTCCTCCTCTGGGCCTCAGGCCAGCACAGACAACACACACAAGTCCAGGTGAGCCTCATCCTGCTGCCCATGTGCCTTCCCAAACCCCTTAAGCACAGAGCTCATCAKCCTGCAGGCATTTATCCAGCTTAGCACATTCTGCTGGAGCCCAGCCCACCTGCACCAGGACACCAACTCCTCCTCATTTTTATTGGAGAGATTTTTAAACTGACTAGTTCCTGGCTGATAGTCCCCTTCACCTGCTGTATTTTTATCCAGATGTTTTAGGTTAGTTCTAGGTAACTCCCCAGTTAAACCAGGATCTCGAGCTGCATCCTAACTAACCGTAGGAATAAATGTGTCAGGATGAGGGAGGAGGTGGGATTGCTGCTGCTGCCAAATGAAAATGTCCACCAAATTCCTTGGGAACTCCCCAGCACCCAGAACTGCTCACCTGGAGGGCAAAGCTTAATGCCAAAAACCACACAGTCTCATGTCAAATGATTTCAGAGAATTAAAGGTTCACCTTTATGGGCAGCACTTGGAAGGTGAGGGTCCAGGTACTGCTGTGACTCAAAGAGGGACTCCACCAGAGCTGCCACTTCCCCTCCCTGAGGGTTTGCAACTGCCTCAAWCCAGCATGGCAGACACAGCAGCTTCCCTCCTTCCCTGGGATCTCCGGGAATATCATCTCATACTCGCAGAGCAGCTGTTCCCAAGCTGTTCCTGCTTACAGCCCAATTCCCAGACCACCGGATTCATGCAGTCCCACCAAACAGCAGCGCAAACAACAGAGCTCCTGAGAGGGCCTGACTGGGACCAGGCTGGAGGAACAGCTCCCTCCAAAAGAGAACACGGGGAAGAGACACAGGCACAAGAAGGCTTGAAGCTGGACCTGGTTTTCTTAGATTTTGCAGCCACTGAAACCAAACCAAGACCAACAGAATGGTAACATACAGTGCTTCAGGTCCTCTACTTGTCACAAACCACATGGGAAAAACCTGTCATGGCAGAAACTACACCGGTACTAGTTTCATGTTCCTATCCCAAACTCCTTACCCAGCCTTGGCCTCCAATCTTCCTTTCCAGAGCTCAGGAGCCAAATTCCCTTCATTAGGGCAAACTTGGTGACACAAAAACCCCACAAAGCCACCTAAGCCAAACCCACACATCTGGGCGGGCTGCAGCTCTTCTGCACGAGCCTGTTTGGGTTCTTTAACCTTGCTGCCCCGAAACACCTTTTCTTTCTCAAGCTGCAACAGAACCAAGACTGGAATAGGATTGTTTATAGGCACTACTGACCAGTCTTTGGCTGTAACGGATCCGTTCTTCCTCAGGCTCCATCTCCGACTCCTCTGAAGAGAGTGAGAAGGACACGCCGGGACTGCTGTCGTCGTCCTCTTCCTCCTTGGAAGCCAAAGGAAAACAGTGAAGCAGGGCACGGAGATATGGGACACCCACAACCCTCACTTCACTTCTCCTTTTAGGGCCAATCCCACCCCACTGTGAGGGGTTGAGAGAACCCAATGGATGAACCCGCCCCAACTTTTAAGGCTCCCATTCTAATTTAAAATAAGTGCCAGAGTAAATGACTTCACCAGCAGTTCTGTAACACAACAGGAGCTGCAAGTCTCCCACTTTTGCTCCACACCACCACCAGCACAAGAAGCAGCTCTGTTGGTCCAGTGGGATAAAAACCAGGGAAGGTACTGTCAAACCCTGGCTTCCCCAAAATTAAACATTGGAGAGCCAACTCCTCCAAACAACACAATCACTATGCTCAGGATATTCTGTACCATGACACTTGAGAGAAAATACAGCGGTACAGGACATCTCCCATGATCAAGGAAGGCATATGGGATCTCTCCTACATACAGCACCCAGGAATCTAACTCCTGGCTGGAGAAGACTTAAATGCTGAGATCTCCAAATGTGCCACCTTGTGACACCACACACCAACCTGGGAAAACCTCCCAAGGCATCAGATGGCACCTACGCCTTTTTTTTTTAAAGGGACAGAAACCAACCAAAACCTAGATATGCCACAGCTCTTAATCCCCAGGACTATGCCTAAATCAGACCTTCGGGGAGGAGAACTGGGGAACGGGATCGGGGAAGGGGATCCGCCACCCCTTGTGTTACAGAAACGCTACCACCACGCAGAGAGAAATCGCTCCATCCTGCTCCTTCCTAACCTCTGGCTTTGACAGCAGAGCATTCCTACTCCCGCCAGCACCTTCCCCACCCCTGCCTCCCTTGGAACCACGGTACCAGGACTCGCGGCTCGGCTGAGGGAGGCAGTTTCCCCACACTTGCTGAACTCTGTTTATAAACAACCGGACAACCGGAACGCAGCGCGCCCGCCCCGCCGCGGGGGCCGCCCCGGCCCGCCGGGCCACCCCAGCCCGCCCCCGCCGGGGCAGGACGGGAGGCGGGAGGGAGGGAGGGTCCCCGGGGAGCTGTCAGCCGGCACCCGCCGCCCCCTCCCCAACACTTCCCGACGCGGCCTCCCGGGGCCCGGCAAGGGGAGACCCGCCCGCGCCCGCTCCCGCCCGGCCGCGCTCCGGGGCCCGCACAAACTCGGGGGTCGCCGGTGACCCCCGTGGTGCTCACCAGGTCTCTCCTGCGCCTTTGTCCTCTTCTACCGCCGGCACGGAGCGGGGAGGAACAGAACAGACGGAGGAGGAGGAACCCCCCGGTCAGCAGCGATCG